CGGGAGAACGACACGAGTCATGTTTACTGTGGCGAGCAGGACGAGTGAGGGCCGCGGGAGAACGGCTCGAGTCATGTTTACTGTGGCGAGCAGGACGAGTGAGGGCCGCTGGAGAACGACACAAGTCATGTTTACTTTGGCGAGCAGGACGAGTGAGGGCCGCGGGAGAACGGCTCGAGTCATGTTTACTGTGGCGAGCAGGACGAGTGAGGGCCGCGGGAGAACGGCGCGAGTCATGTTTACTTTGGCGAGCAGGACGAGTGAGGGCCGCGGGAGAACGGCGCGAGTCATGTTTACTGTGGCGAGCAGGACGAGTGAGGGCCGCGGGAGAACGACACGAGTCATGTTTACTGTGGCGAGCAGGACGAGTGAGGGCCGCGGGAGAACGACACGAGTCATGTTTACTGTGGCGAGCAGGACGAGTGAGGGCCGCGGGAGAACGACACGAGTCATGTTTACTGTGGCGAGCAGGACGAGTGAGGGTCGCGGGAGAACGACACGAGTCATGTTTACTGTGGCGAGCAGGACGAGTGAGGGCCGCGGGAGAACGACACGAGTCAAGTTTACTGTGGCGAGCAGGACGAGTGAGGGCCGCGGGAGAACGGCTCGAGTCATGTTTACTGTGGCGAGCAGGACGAGTGAGGGCCGCGGGAGAACGACACGAGTCATGTTTACTGTGGCGAGCAGGACGAGTGAGGGCCGCGGGAGAACGACACGAGTCATGTTTACTGTGGCGAGCAGGACGAGTGAGGGTCGCGGGAGAACGACACGAGTCATGTTTACTGTGGCGAGCAGGACGAGTGAGGGCCGCGGGAGAACGGCTCGAGTCATGTTTACTGCGGCGAGCAGGACGAGTGAGGGCCGTGGGAGAACGACACGAGTCATGTTTACTGTGGCGAGCAGGACGAGTGAGGGCCGCGGGAGAACGACACGAGTCATGTTTACTGTGGCGAGCAGGACGAGTGAGGGCCGCGGGAGAACGACACGAGTCATGTTTACTGTGGCGAGCAGGACGAGTGAGGGCCGCGGGAGAACGACACGAGTCATGTTTACTGTGGCGAGCAGGACGAGTGAGGGCCGCGGGAGAACGGCGCGAGTCATGTTTACTGTGGCGAGCAGGACGAGTGAGGGCCGCGGGAGAACGACACGAGTCATGTTTACTGTGGCGAGCAGGACGAGTGAGGGCCGCGGGAGAACGACACGAGTCATGTTTACTGTGGCGAGCAGGACGAGTGAGGGTCGCGGGAGAACGACACGAGTCATGTTTACTGTGGCGAGCAGGACGAGTGAGGGCCGCGGGAGAACGGCGCGAGTCATGTTTACTGTGGCGAGCAGGACGAGTGAGGGCCGCGGGAGAACGACGCGAGTCATGTTTACTGTGGCGAGCAGGACGAGTGAGGGCCGCGGGAGAATGACACGAGTCATGTTTACTGTGGCGAGCAGGACGAGTGAGGGCCGCGGGAGAACGACACGAGTCATGTTTACTGTGGCGAGCAGGACGAGTGAGGGCCGCGGGAGAACGACACGAGTCATGTTTACTGTGGCGAGCAGGACGAGTGAGGGCCGCGGGAGAACGACACGAGTCATGTTTACTGTGGCGAGCAGGACGAGTGAGGGTCGCTGGAGAACGACACGAGTCATGTTTACTGTGGCGAGCAGGACGAGTGAGGGCCGCGGGAGAACGGCACGAGTCATGTTTACTGTGGCGAGCAGGACGAGTGAGGGTCGCGGGAGAACGGCACGAGTCATGTTTACTGTGGCGAGCAGGACGAGTGAGGGCCGCGGGAGAACGACACGAGTCATGTTTACTGTGGCGAGCAGGACGAGTGAGGGCCGCGGGAGAACGACACGAGTCATGTTTACTGTGGCGAGCAGGACGAGTGAGGGCCGCGGGAGAACGACACGAGTCATGTTTACTGTGGCGAGCAGGACGAGTGAGGGCCGCGGGAGAACGACACGAGTCATGTTTACTGTGGCGAGCAGGACGAGTGAGGGCCGCGGGAGAACGACACGAGTCATGTTTACTGTGGCGAGCAGGACGAGTGAGGGCCGCGGGAGAACGACACGAGTCATGTTTACTGTGGCGAGCAGGACGAGTGAGGGCCGCGGGAGAACGACGCGAGTCATGTTTACTGTGGCGAGCAGGACGAGTGAGGGCCGCGGGAGAACGGCACGAGTCATGTTTACTGTGGCGAGCAGGACGAGTGAGGGTCGCGGGAGAACGGCACGAGTCATGTTTACTGTGGCGAGCAGGACGAGTGAGGGCCGCGGGAGAACGACACGAGTCATGTTTACTGTGGCGAGCAGGACGAGTGAGGGCCGCGGGAGAACGACACGAGTCATGTTTACTGTGGCGAGCAGGACGAGTGAGGGCCGCGGGAGAACGACACGAGTCATGTTTACTGTGGCGAGCAGGACGAGTGAGGGCCGCGGGAGAACGACACGAGTCATGTTTACTGTGGCGAGCAGGACGAGTGAGGGCCGCGGGAGAACGACACGAGTCATGTTTACTGTGGCGAGCAGGACGAGTGAGGGCCGCGGGAGAACGACACGAGTCATGTTTACTGTGGCGAGCAGGACGAGTGAGGGCCGCGGGAGAACGACGCGAGTCATGTTTACTGTGGCGAGCAGGACGAGTGAGGGCCGCGGGAGAACGACACGAGTCATGTTTACTGTGGCGAGCAGGACGAGTGAGGGCCGCGGGAGAACGACACGAGTCATGTTTACTGTGGCGAGCAGGACGAGTGAGGGCCGCGGGAGAACGACACGAGTCATGTTTACTGTGGCGAGCAGGACGAGTGAGGGCCGCGGGAGAACGACACGAGTCATGTTTACTGTGGGGAGCAGGACGAGTGAGGGCCGTGGGAGAACGACACGAGTCATGTTTACTGTGGCGAGCAGGACGAGTGAGGGCCGCGGGAGAACGACACGAGTCATGTTTACTGTGGCGAGCAGGACGAGTGAGGGCCGCGGGAGAACGACACGAGTCATGTTTACTGTGGCGAGCAGGACGAGTGAGGGCCGTGGGAGAACGACACGAGTCATGTTTACTGTGGCGAGCAGGACGAGTGAGGGCCGCGGGAGAACGGCACGAGTCATGTTTACTGTGGCGAGCAGGACGAGTGAGGGCCGCGGGAGAACGACACGAGTCATGTTTACTGTGGCGAGCAGGACGAGTGAGGGCCGCGGGAGAACGACACGAGTCATGTTTACTGTGGCGAGCAGGACGAGTGAGGGCCGCGGGAGAACGACACGAGTCATGTTTACTGTGGCGAGCAGGACGAGTGAGGGCCGCGGGAGAACGACACGAGTCATGTTTACTGTGGGGAGCAGGACGAGTGAGGGCCGTGGGAGAACGACACGAGTCATGTTTACTGTGGCGAGCAGGACGAGTGAGGGCCGCGGGAGAACGACACGAGTCATGTTTACTGTGGGGAGCAGGACGAGTGAGGGCCGCGGGAGAACGACACGAGTCATGTTTACTGTGGCGAGCAGGACGAGTGAGGGCCGCGGGAGAACGACACGAGTCATGTTTACTGTGGCGAGCAGGACGAGTGAGGGCCGCGGGAGAACGACGCGAGTCATGTTTACTGTGGCGAGCAGGACGAGTGAGGACCGCGGGAGAACGACGCGAGTCATGTTTACTGTGGCGAGCAGGACGAGGCCGAGGGCCGCGGGAGAACGACACGAGTCATGTTTACTGTGGCGAGCAGGACGAGTGAGGGCCGCGGGAGAACGACACGAGTCATGTTTACTGTGGCGAGCAGGACGAGTGAGGGCCGCGGGAGAACGACACGAGTCATGTTTACTGTGGCGAGCAGGACGAGTGAGGGCCGCGGGAGAACGACGCGAGTCATGTTTACTGTGGCGAGCAGGACGAGTGAGGGCCGTGGGAGAACGACACGAGTCATGTTTACTGTGGCGAGCAGGACGAGTGAGGGCCGCGGGAGAACGACACGAGTCATGTTTACTGTGGCGAGCAGGACGAGTGAGGGCCGCGGGAGAACGACACGAGGCATGTTTACTGTGGCGAGCAGGACGAGTGAGGACCGCGGGAGAACGACGCGAGTCATGTTTACTGTGGCGAGCAGGACGAGGCCAAGGGCCGCGGGAGAACGACACGAGTCATGTTTACTGTGGCGAGCAGGACGAGTGAGGGCCGCGGGAGAACGGGGCGAGTCATGTTTACTGTGGCGAGCAGGACGAGGCCGAGGGCCGCGGGAAAACGACACGAGTCATGTTTACTGTGGCGAGCAGGACGAGGCCGAGGGCCGCGGGAGAACGACACGAGTCATGTTTACTGTGGCGAGCAGGACGAGGCTAGGGCCGCGGGAGAACGACGCGAGGCCGGTGGTGTGATTACTGATGAGCGACACCTGTGAGACGCATCTGTCTCGTATCTCTCACGGAGGATCTTCTTAGCAATGTTAAAACGCACATCAACCGATCACATGTTCAGCGTTCATGTAAACACTACATTCAGATTCACCAATCGGAATGAATTCGGTTAACTTAGATTGAAACAAAAGGTGTGCATGTAAACACTGCAGAAAGCAAAAGCTGAATCCCGGACATTTTGTTTGATCTCAACGGCCGGACATGTCCGGGAAGAAGAGGATGGTAACCCCTACTACTCAGCTTTCTCCACAGAACAAAAGCCTGCTAGCTTAGCTTCCAAAAAAGATGTCTGACACTATGTGTACATTCTGTGAGTGAGATCCCACCCTCTGTGGGCGGGTTGAGAACATGCGGGACAGCCCCAACTACTGGCTGTAGTCTTTAGCCTCTGGCCAAAACATCCTCCGATGACGCAAAATGACGATTTTTGCGTCATCGGAGGATTTTTTCCAGACAAAAAATACATAAATCTCTCGTCTCAGGGGGATATAAGGGTGGAAAGCACGGTAATTTGAAAATACTACAGGGTTTCTACTAATACAAAGCTTAATGCTAAATCCTGAAATATCCCTTTAAGCGTTAGCAGCTCGCGATCAGCTGACCTGCCCACCCGCTCCGCTCCCCGCTGCGAGTCCGACTTCAGGATGTGATGGAAGTATCCGGCCCGATCCCGAGGAGGCGTCTTCCACAGCCGGTGAAACTCCTCCGCCTGCAGCACAACATCTCAAGTTTAATTGGATTTGCGTTTTGCTGTTTTGCTCGACTGGATTATGTGTTTGTTTGACATTTTTCTTTTTGTTCTGTTGTTTCTTGTCTCTCTTATTCATTCAAAGCAACTTTGTTGTCCTGAAAGGCATTATATAAAAAATATATAATTAATTATTTAATTATTAATAAATTATTACTACAATTATTTTTATAATTTGTGTGCCAAGAGAATGTGTAATTATAATATTTTCTTTTAAATAATAATATTTTTTAAATATAAAAATAATTAGTAATGCTTGTTTGTAATAATAATAATAATAATGTTATTACTACTACTAAAATTATTAATTAAATAACAAATGATAAAACGGATAAATAATAAATAAATGTTTTCTAAATAAAATAAAATAAAATGTTATTAATTTAAAATTGTTAATTATTAAAATGTATGTGCAAACAAACTGTAATAATAATGTTTATAACAATAATTGTATTTTTAAATATCATTATAATGCGTGTTTGTGATAATAATAATAATAAAAGCAAAATTAAAAGTAATGTTATTATTTCAATTAAAAGTAGTGGTTTTATAATTTGTGTGCCCACAGAAATTGTAATTACAATAATTTTAATAATAATAATTTAAGTAAAAAATATATTACTATTAATAATAATAATTGCTTGATTGTAATAATAATAATATGTTTTTATTATTAATTACTATTAATAAAATGTATTTGCAAACAGAAAGATAACAATAAACTTAGTAATAATATTAATAATAATGTTATGGTTAGGGTTTACATAGTAATAATAATAGTAAAATATAAAATGTATTATTAAAATCATTATTATAATTTGTGTGTGCACAGAAATTGTAATTACAATCATTTTAATAATAATAATTCAAGTATAAATTTTTATAATAATAATCTACAATTATGCTTGTTTGTAATAATTTTTTATTATAATTGTAATAATCATTAAAATTATTATTATAATTTCTGTTGGCACACATTTATACAATTCCAAATGAGATTCAAAGAAGTAAAGCACCATTAAAAACATAAAACATAAACATTAATGTTTCCCAACGTTTGTCAGGAACTGTATAAACTACCTTTGATGCGTTCAGAGGCCCGACGAAAGCCTTGATGATCTTGGTTGGGTGTTTGGGACTGTCCGTCATCCGGTCGGGCCGGTAGAAGCGATCACATGACTCCGGCGACCCGGGACACCAGGGGGCGCTGATCTCCGGAGGCAGTGTGTTATCAGCGGCCCGCAGCAGAGGCACATAAAACCTGTCTGTGACACACACACACACACACACACACCCAGCAGTGAAACACATCCCAGATCACACACATACCCCCAGCAGTGAAACACACCCTAGATCACACACACACACACCCAGCAGTGAAACACACCCTAGATCACACACACACACACACACACACACAGAGCAGAACGACGGAACCGACCTTCCAAATATTCCCTGATCTTCTGCTTCACTTCCTTACTTCTGTTTTTCCGCTCACAGATCATCTGCAGAATGAACACCAGTGATTATTTCACATATCACATGTTTTATTTGTTTATTTATGCGTTTATTTATATAGGGACTTGTGCTGGGCAACGAGTAATCACAATTAATCGCATCCGAAATAAACGTTTGTGTTTACGGAAGTACAGAACCAGTCTCGAGTCGCACGGGTGTATCTGTGGCGATAGCCAACTATACATTGTATGAGTCAAAATTATTTTTCTTTTATGCCAAACATCATTAGGATATTAAGTAAAGATCATGTTCCATGAAGATATTTAGTAAATTTCCTACCGTAAATATATAAAAAATATATTTTTGTGAGTGAATGCAGCAAAATCGCCAACATAAATGCACAACTTTAAAGGCGATTTATATTTAATTTTCGTTAATTTGCAAAACGTAAATGTATGAAACTTATCCAAGATGATTATGATGATGATTACTAAGTTATGATTACAAATTACTTTATTTGAATATATTTTTATCCCCCGGTATGACAGAATTGACGTCGTTACGTGAGGACGTACTGGTGAACCGAACTGTCCGAGAGAACCGGACTTCCCATCACTACACCTGAGCTCCGCCCACAAATAAACCGTAATAATAATCATTTTAATAACAATAATTTATAAAAAATAAAATTCTGGTTTGTGATAATAATAATAATAATAGCAAAATAAAAAGTGATGTTATTATTTAAAAAAATATCTTAATTAAAAGTAGTGGTATTATAATTTGTGTGCCCACATAAATTGTAATTACAATAATTGTAATAATATTAATTTAAGTAAAAATAAATAACATTACTACTACTACTAATAATTTATTATTATGCTTGTTTGTAATAATAATATTTTGTAATTATTAATTACATTATTAAAATGTATGTGCAAACAGAAACTGTTGTAATAATATTGTATTTTTAAAGATAATAATAAATATAGTAATGCTTGTCACTGTCAGTAATAATAACAATGATATTTTGGTATATTTATATTAATATTAATAATAATAATAATATTATTTCTAATCATAATAATAATAATAATAGTAAAATAAAAAATGTAATTTAATTTTAAGTCATGTTTGTAGTTTCTTACACTGGACGGGTTCTGGTCATACTTGTTCCTGCAGTGTTTGTCCACGCACGGATGTGAACACAGAACATCCACCACTTCTGGACACCCGAACTTGCAGGCGAAGTGTAGCGGCGTCTCGTTGCTCTGAGGAACATCACATCTCAGACAGTTATTATCACTACAGGGTTCCCACACCTCGGATCACTTCAAACTCAAGGACTTTCCAGGTCCAATACCCTCAAACTCAAGGACTTTCCAGGTCCAATACCCTCAAACTCAAGGACTTTCCAGGTCCAATACCCTCAAACTCAAGGACTTTCCAGGTCCAATACCCTCAAACTCAAGGACTTTCCAGGTCCAATACCCTCAAACTCAAGGACTTTCCAGGTCCAATACCCTCAAACTCAAGGACTTTCCAGGTCCAATACCCTCAAACTCAAGGACTTTCCAGGTCCAATACCCTCAAACTCAAGGACTTTCCAGGTCCAATACCCTCAAACTCAAGGACTTTCCAGGTCCAACACCCTCAAACTCAAGGACTTTCCAGGTCCAACACCCTCAAACTCAAGGACTTTCCAGGTCCAACACCCTCAAACTCAAGGACTTTCCAGGTCCAATACCCTCAAACTCAAGGACTTTCCAGGTCCAATACCCTCAAACTCAAGGACTTTCCAGGTCCAACACCCTCAAACTCAAGGACTTTCCAGGTCCAACACCCTCAAACTCAAGGACTTTCCAGGTCCAATACCCTCAAACTCAAGGACTTTCCAGGTCCAACACCCTCAAACTCAAGGACTTTCCAGGTCCAACACCCTCAAACTCAAGGACTTTCCAGGTCCAACACCCTCAAACTCAAGGACTTTCCAGGTCCAACACCCTCAAACTCAAGGACTTTCCAGGTCCAATACCCTCAAACTCAAGGACTTTCCAGGTCCAACACCCTCAAACTCAAGGACTTTCCAGGTCCAACACCCTCAAACTCAAGGACTTTCCAGGTCCAATACCCTCAAACTCAAGGACTTTCCAGGTCCAACCCCCTTAAACTCAAGGACTTTCCAGGTCCAAAAACCTCAAATTCAAGGACTTTCCAGGTCCAATACCCTCAAACTCAAGGACTTTCCAGGTCCAATACCCTCAAACTCAAGGACTTTCCAGGTCCAATACCCTCAAACTCAAGGACTTTCCAGGTCCAATACCCTCAAACTCAAGGACTTTCCAGGTCCAACACCCTCAAACTCAAGGACTTTCCAGGTCCAACACCCTCAAACTCAAGGACTTTCCAGGTCCAACACCCTCAAACTCAAGGACTTTCCAGGTCCAATACCCTCAAACTCAAGGACTTTCCAGGTCCAACACCCTCAAACTCAAGGACTTTCCAGGTCCAACACCCTCAAACTCAAGGACTTTCCAGGTCCAATACCCTCAAACTCAAGGACTTTCCAGGTCCAACACCCTCAAACTCAAGGACTTTCCAGGTCCAACACCCTCAAACTCAAGGACTTTCCAGGTCCAACACCCTCAAACTCAAGGACTTTCCAGGTCCAATACCCTCAAACTCAAGGACTTTCCAGGTCCAATACCCTCAAACTCAAGGACTTTCCAGGTCCAACACCCTCAAACTCAAGGACTTTCCAGGTCCAACACCCTCAAACTCAAGGACTTTCCAGGTCCAATACCCTCAAACTCAAGGACTTTCCCGGTCCAACACCCTCAAACTCAAGGACTTTCCAGGTCCAATACCCTCAAACTCAAGGACTTTCCAGGTCCAATACCCTCAAACTCAAGGACTTTCCAGGTCCAACACCCTCAAACTCAAGGACTTTCCAGGTCCAACACCCTCAAACTCAAGGACTTTCCAGGTCCAATACCCTCAAACTCAAGGACTTTCCAGGTCCAACACCCTCAAACTCAAGGACTTTCCAGGTCCAATACCCTCAAACTCAAGGACTTTCCAGGTCCAACACCCTCAAACTCAAGGACTTTCCAGGTCCAACACCCTCAAACTCAAGGACTTTCCAGGTCCAATACCCTCAAACTCAAGGACTTTCCAGGTCCAACACCATCAAACTCAAGGACTTTCCAGGTCCAATACCCTCAAACTCAAGGACTTTCCCGGTCCAACACCCTCAAACTCAAGGACTTTCCAGGTCCAATACCCTCAAACTCAAGGACTTTCCAGGTCCAACACCCTCAAACTCAAGGACTTTCAAGGTCCAACACCCTCAAACTCAAGGACTTTCCAGGTCCAACACCCTCAAACTAAAGGACTTTCCAGGTCCAACACCCTCAAACTTAAGGACTTTCCAGGTCCAACACCCTCAAACTCAAGGACTTTCCAGGTCCAACACCCTCAAACTCAAGGACTTTCCAGGTCCAATACCCTCAAACTCAAGGACTTTCCCGGTCCAACACCCTCAAACTCAAGGACTTTCCAGGTCCAACACCCTCAAACTCAAGGACTTTCCCGGTCCAACACCCTCAAACTCAAGGACTTTCCCGGTCCAACACCCTCAAACTCAAGGACTTTCCAGGTCCAATACCCTCAAAAAACCTTAATGAATTAATGTGAGGACACTTAATGTGGGGACACACTTATTGTGTCCAACAACAAATGTTGAGGTTCCATCGTATTAGTTTCGTGCGCGCGTGAACATCATGGCAATGTACAACACAAAATGATGTTTTATAAACAAAGTTCGGGAGGAGCACGTTCAAATAATCAATCCAATCTACTTGTCATCAAACAATTATGTCTACCCTAATCAGCATGACAAGAAGAGTATATATATTCACTCTGTCAACTCACCTAACATTCCTTGACAGTGTTTCAGCATCCCTCCACCACCCCGACTCCTCACTCTCAGCTCATTCTTTCACAGCCAGGAATACGGGGGGAGTACTCTGGGTTCGGGCCCGGAGCCCTCTCCTCGGACAGCACGCCAAATACGCTTTTATTCTATCTGACTTATTTGTAAGTGTGAACTCGTGAAGTACCTCACGCGGGAAACACTTAACGTAACGCGTAAATGCGCGTAACTAACGTAAATCAAGCAAGCTAGTGCGCACAGGCCACGCAGTGATGGCGGAATAACACATTAGAGGACCGGAGGGAATAATACGGGATTTTTCCAGAAAACTTCTTGCACAAAATAAATTCAAGCACTTTCCAGCACATTTCTTTTTCCAGATTCACAAACTTTCAAGGATTTCCAGCACCCGTGGGAACCCTGTTATGAACTCAATTGTACAATTGTACTCAAAACTACAAACTAAATTGTAGGTAAGACACAAACACAACTGAATGAGATCTATTTATTAAAAGTGAAATGTTAAGAAGATATGAATATGATTAGGGGTGGATGTGTATGCATAGATTGTATATGTACATACGGGATTGTTATTGTTTTATATTTTTGTGTGTGTATGTGTGTATGTATGTGTGTTTATGTGTGTATATGTGTGTGTGCATATGTGTGTGTGCATGTATGTGTGTGCATGTGTGTATGTGTGCGCACGTGTGTGTGTGTGTGTGTGCGTGCGTGAGTGTATGTGTGTGCATGTGTGTGCGTGTGCATGTGTGTGTGCGTGTGTGCGTATGTGCATGTGTGTGTGTGTGTATGTGTGTGTATGTGCATGTGTGTGTGTGTGTGTGCTACTCACGGCTTTGTCCGGCGTGTTGAGGTAGAGGTCGACGATGTACCGGATGCGCTGCCACAGCATGAGCTCCTGGTCGTGAGGATACATGAGTCTCATGAACTCCGGGTCCTCCAGCGTCTCCAAGACCAGACGAGCAATTCCAGCCTGGTTTTCCTTCGCTGCGACGTGCAACACATTGTATCTGCATCCCTCCTGGACAAACACACACAACACACTGTACTCGAGGCTTGGAATTAAAGAGGACCTATTAGTGTTGATATTTTGATATGTATCCATTCGTACAGGAAATTCCAGGACTTTTCCAGCACTACTTTTTCAGTTTTCAAGGACTAAAATCAGAGATCTCACTTATCAAACAATATCTTTATTATCTTTCAAATTAAAAAAAATATAAATAGATAAAGGAAAATAAGCTAATAAAACAAAATGGTAGTATAAATAAAGTGACGACGACTGGTGACTTTAAAGCAACACTAAGGAACTTCTCCTCTGCGGTCGCCCCACAGGTTGGAAGCGGAATTGTCCATTACCGCTGTCTTAAATCATCTACTGTCGCACACACTCGCTGTTTATCCAGCACCGGCTCTGGAATGAACGATGTCCACAGACAAAGTAGAGCATGTTGCAGGATTTCATGAAAGTATGATGTATTGCTACATCAGAAACGAAGAAAAACTAAATAATGACTATTGTAACTCTTGACGTAAAGCAAGTCAAATTTGTAGTTTTCTTATGTCTCATTAGAACTACAGAAACTCGACCCGATCTGGCAATCTTACATAGCGTGGTTATAGCAGATACAGGCCGAAGTGCCTTTCACCCTGTTACGACTTGATGAACCACTGAAACGAGTTTGGAAACATTATTTTAAGGTAAAAAATCTTACTTAGTGTTGCTTTAACCATAGAAAGGATATTATGAAAAAGAAATCACTTTCTGTTTTTTCCCCCCATGAATATATGATTGACCTGAAGAATGAAAGCTGTACGAGTATAATGTATAATTATAAAGTATAATGTACATCCAGCATACAAAATTATGTCAAAATGACCGTCTTGTTGAGTATTCAGAATAAATAAAGTCAGTTTTGGAAGTTAAACAGTTGAGAGAAAATGCATGTTGTGTATCAGTATATTGGATCGGTGCATTCGCTCTTAAAGGGACAGTATTCTAATAATCCTGCTGCTGTTAATCATGTTAATCACGGAACAGAAGACAGAGAAAACCACTCGCTGCTCTTGACTGAATAACTTTTGTAACTTTAATTGTATAGACTAGACGGATTTCAGAAAAATGGCCTTCTATAAGAAGTGAGGAGCATTTATGGGTACAAGTCGGGAACCGGCCTACCTTACATATTTCAAGGGTGCTGAGTCCCAAAAAAATGGTACCCAAGCGAAATTTTTAGTTTTTTACCTTCTAATTTGCATATCAAAATGGCCGCCAAATTGCCTATCTTGCTCAGTCGTTGGACCATTTTCCCCTAGTTTTTTTGTAAGTAGGCAATCAAGATGAGGAAATTAAGTTTCTAGATCGATAGTCAAGGGTCAGAGCAAAGATATAATGGAGGCAACTCATGATTGGCCACTTCCTAGCAACCAGACAGAGTACCCTAGCAACCATTTTGCAAAACCTATAACTCTGCATCAGAACATCGTATAGAGATGGGGGTTGGTTTATATCATTCACACTGACAAGCAGCCTTTGGAGTTTCATGATTGGCAGCTGTTAAGCCACTCCCTAGCAACCAAACAGAGTACCATAGCAACCAGTTTGCAAGACCTATATCTCTGCATCAGAACATCATATAGAGATAGGGGTTGGGTTATATCATTCATACTGACAAACAGCCTTTGGTGTTTCATGATTAGCCACTCCCTAGCAACCAAACAGAGTACCCTAGCAACCATTTTGCAAGACCTATATCTCTGCATCAGAACATCGTATAGAGTTGGGGGTTGGTTTATATCATTCACACTGACAAGCAGCCTTTGGAGATTCATCATTGGCAGCTGCCAAGCCACTCCCTAGCAACCAAACAGAGTACCCTAGCAACCATTTTGCAAGACCTGTATCTCTGCATCAGAACATCATATAGAGATAGGGGTTGGTTTATATAATTCACACTGAAATGCAGCCTTTGGCATTTCATGATTATCCACTCCCTAGCAACCAAACAGAGTACCCTAGCAACCATTTTGCAAGACCTACACTCACCTAAAGGATTATTAGGAACACCATACTAATACTGTGTTTGACCCCCTTTCGCCTTCAGAACTGCCTTAATTCTACGTGGCATTGATTCAACAAGGTGCTTAAAGCATTCTTTAGAAATGTTGGCCCATATTGATAGGATAGCATATTGCAGTTGATGGAGACTTGTGGGATGCACATCCAGGGCACGAAGCTCCCGTTCCACCACATCCCAAAGATGCTCTATTGGGTTGAGATCTGGTGACTGTGGGGGCCATTTTAATACAGTGAACTCATTGTCATGTTCAAGAAACCCATTTGAAATGATTCGAGCTTTGTGACATGGTGCATTATCCTGCTGGAAGTAGCCATCAGAAGATGGGTACATGGTGGCCATAAAGGGATGGACATGGTCAGAAACAATGCTCAGGTAGGCCGTGGCATTTAAACGATGCCCAATTGGCACTAAGGGGCCTAAAGTGTGCCAAGAAAACATCCCCCACACCATTACACCACCACCACCAGCCTGCACAGTGGTAACAAGGCATGATGGATCCATGTTCTCATTCTGTTTACGCCAAATTCTGACTCTACCATCTGAATGTCTCAACAGAAATCGAGACTCATCAGACCAGGCAACATTTTTCCAGTCTTCAACTGTCCAATTTTGGTGAGCTCTTGCAAATTGTAGCCTCTTTTTCCTATTTGTAGTGGACATGAGTGGTACCCGGTGGGGTCTTCTGCTGTTGTAGCCCATCCGCCTCAAGGTTGTGCGTGTTGTGGCTTCATAAATGCTTTGCTGCATACCTCGGTTGTAACGAGTGGTTATTTCAGTCAAAGTTGCTCTTCTATCAGCTTGAATCAGTCGGCCCATTCTCCTCTGACCTCTAGCATCAACAAGGCATTTTCGCCCACAGGACTGCCGCATACTGGATGTTTTTCCCTTTTCACACCATTCTTTGTAAACCCTAGAAATGGTTGTGCGTGAAAACCCCAGTAACTGAGCAGATTGTGAAATACTCAGACCGGCCCGTCTGGCACCAACAACCATGCCACGCTCAAAATTGCTTAAATCACCTTTCTTTCCCATTCTGACATTCAGTTTGGAGTTCAGGAGATTGTCTTGACCAGGACCACACCCCTAAATGCATTGAAGCAACTGCCATGTGATTGGTTGATTAGATAATTGCATTAATGAGAAATTAGCCTTTCGCCGAGCCCCGCCCCCCTTAGTTACTGTTGCTACGTCCGACAAACAAATGGTCAAACACGACCAGCGCGACTGATTGCCATGACGGGAAGAGGTATACCCGTGCGTGTCAGTGACCTTTTTTGGAGCAATACCTCCGCGATATCCTCCAGATCGAGGCAAAAGGGGTTACAGTATGCAGTGAAGGGATATATTCAAAATATAAAAATAAAATAAAAAAGGCTATAATGCTTACCGTAACGACCTGTACCTCAAATGCAACCAGCACGGCCTTGAAGAAGATTTTATAAGCTGGTTCAGTGGCCAATTGTTTGGAGTTAGAAATATATAACTCGCGCTGCATATTTAACTTAGTAATTTTGCCTCAGATACAGGATTATACATTCGCTTTAACAAGCAGGTTGTTCATTACCACGACAACCACTTGCGTGTCATGCTGAATGTGATTTTCGTGTTTAAAAAGTAACTAACGTTATACATAAGAGACGGAAAGATGCAGATAACCATACATTATTTAAGGTTATTTCTATTCGTTACGATATTGATATATGAACTGATGTTGTCAAGTAAGCTTCATGCTCTCCCCGTTGCGAACGTGCTCTCCTCTAAACTGTAGCCTATGGGTGCTGCACTGCTAGTTGACTGCTGCTCATTCCCCCCCGAAAATATCATGTTAACAACAACCCTTTAGAAAACGTAATTCCTTCGTGGATCCTCTTGATCTGCTTTCTCCATGTTTCTTTGACTAATCTCAGTGTCTCAGTCTCACACACGCTGCACGTGAGTTAACCATGTTCGACACATTTAACTGGGAGTGGGGCCGTCCATCCACACTGTTTTATCCATTGTAGGCACCGCTCACGTTGTGTTTTCGGCTTTGGAAACGGAAAGAACACAACTCCTCCAGACAATCTCTCGGAGTACCTAGTGTCCGATTTACAAACGCTGTGGGTGCACCGCTTCACCATCTTGCTTGGAGTCAATGTTTGACGGACCTGCTCACATAGTAACGGTTGCTATGATGTGTGATTGGACAATGGCCGTTTTGGGGGAGGGGCCGGCGAGAGGTCAATTGAACAGGTGTTCCTAATAATCCTTTAGGTGAGTGTATATCTCTGCATCAGAACATCATAGAGAAATGGGGGTTGGCTCTTTTGACTCATGCTAGCAAAGAGGACTTCCAACATGCTACACATGCTAGCTGTGAATAGCTACATGCTATTAGTGATTAAGTAAGTGCTAAATCATGCCTAGAACATGCTAAGAACTCTATAAAAACTCCATAGTAACCATCGGTGACAACTACCAACCACCTGGTAACACCATAGCAACCACCCATAACACCCTAGCAACCACCCAGAATACATTAGCAATTGCCTAGCAACACCTTAGCAACCACCCAGAACACCCTAGCAACATGCTAGCAACCACCCAGAATACCCTAGCAACCACCCAGAATACCCTAGCAACTGCCTATCAACACCATAGCAACCACCCAGAACACCCTAGCAACTGCCTAGTAACGCCCTAGCAACCACCCAGAATACCCTAGCAACCACCCAGAACACCCTAGCAACCACCTGAACAACATGAATAAGCCATATCTCAGCACCAGAACATCGTACAGACATGTTTGTTGGCTCGTATGCAATTTTGCCACTGCAAGCACCACTTCACATTTTCTTCAGGAAATGTACAGTCTAGGGAATGCTTTGTTTGCATAAAAAAAATGAAATCTCAGATAACTTGCAATGGTGTTTTTCTTAGTTATTATGTAATATGGAATACATCACATATTATATATACACTGGGAACATTTAAGAGTGATATTGATTGAATATTTATGTCGGCCTTAAAAAAATGACACAAATAATGCCTAATTTCACCTTAAAAGTTGGTATTTTTCATATATACATAAAAAAGACAGTGAGCCTCCATTATATCTTTGCTCTGACCCTTGACTATCGATCTAGAAACTTAATTTCCTCATCTTGATTGCCTACTTACAAAAAACCAGTGGAAAATGGTCCAACGACTGAGCAAGATAGGCAATTTGGCGGCCATTTTGATATGCAAATTAGAAGGTCAAAAACTCACAATTTCGCTTGGGTACCAGTTTTTTGGGATTCAGCACCCTTGAAATATGTAAAGTAGGCCGGTTCCCGACTTGTACCCATAAATGCTCCTCACTTTCACTTTTTGGGTACATCCCATCTAGACTATAAGCATTATTCTGTATTTAATTTTCTGTGTTATTTTACATTCGATTACTTTCATTTCTGTAGTAGGTATCTACAGAAAATGGTATCAAATATCGATATTTTTCTGCCCTTTCAAAGCCTATTTTTCAGGCTCTACTAGAACAGGTTTTCCTGCTTGAATGTTGATTATTCTCCTCATATTCTCCATTGTTGCGGCTCCTCTCTTCCCAGTCTGTCAGTAACGCTCTGTTTACTTCCTGTCTCTATGAAGCCCCTCCTTCTGAAAAGCACACTGTGCTCTGATTGGTCGGCTGGAGCAGTGTGTTGTGATTGGTCGAGCGCTTCGAGTGTGTTTGGGAAATCCCACCCCTTTCCATAACCACCAGTTTAACACACTACTAACTAACTCAACCAGAATACAGTATATTCACATAGAAAACACTGTATTTCACTGTTTTTATTGTATTTTTGATCGAACAAATGCAGCGTTTGTGAGACTTTCAAAAACAAATCTTAACAACCCCAAACCTTTCTAAATCAAGTCCCACCTGCACGATAGTGGGATTGTCCCCGGACCCGATGAGGTATCTTGGGTTCCCCCAGACGAGCTCTCTGAAGGTGTCCTCGTCTCCTCTCTCCACGGCTCTGCGGAGCTTCGCCGTCAGATCTTGTGTTCGAGGACTCCTGAACTCATTGGCTTTCTCCATGTTAGCAGGATCTGCATTCATCAGCCACTCTGCACAAACACACATGATGCTCAGAACACATGTCATCTTCACTGTAGATGTGAGCTAGAGCTGCACGATTCTGGATAAATTGAGAATCACGATTTCTTTTGTTTCAAATAGAGATCACGATTCTCCCACGATACTGAACAGCAGCTTAACAAAATAACATGTCATTTACTAAAGGTTCTGACAAAATGTTAATTGCTGCGGTCTATTTTAAAAAAGTTTAATTAATTAAAAAAAAAAAAGTTGAGTGAATGATTCAATGACTCTCTTATTAAGACTTAACTTAATTCATTACTGGATGAATCAGCGTTTTTGAACGAATCTCTTGAATGATTCAATGACTCACTCATTAAGACTTCACTTGTTTCATTACTGGATGAATCAGCGTTTTTGAACGAATCTCTTGAATGAATGATTCAATGACTCACTCATAAAGACTTCATTTGCTTCATTACTGGATGAATCAGCGTTTTTGAACGAATCTCTTGAATGAATGATTCAATGACTCACTCATTAAGACTTCACTTGTTTCATTAGTGGATGAATCAGCGTTTTTGAACGAATCTCTTGAATGAATGATTCAATGACTCACTCATTAAGGCTGCGTTCCAAACCGCATACTCAATGAGTAGGTACTTAATTTCAATAAGTACTTACTTAACGAGCGCTAAAAGAGTAGGTACTTTATAGCCAAATCTCGTTGAGTATGAATGCGATCCGGATATCATCTGCCATGTTGACGTTATCATGTGACCTACGACGCGTTATCACAAGCGCAACAACTTAAAAGATATGAACGACACGTTTAATTCATCTATCTGTAAATATCTCGATATTGATTTAACTTGCTCATTTTGTGGTATTGTTGAAGAAACAGCTGCCAATTTATTTTGTGAATACATTTAGGGTTGATTTAAGTTGTTATAGGCCTATTTTAAACCCTACTAATGTGACCCACAGTTTTATCCTTAACGATATATTTTTTTTTATTAAGAAACCCCAAAATCGTCATCTCTTGAATATGTTGTTAATTTCTTTATTTTATACCCAAAAAGTTTCTCCTTTAAGTTTTCATCTTTTTCTTGATGAATTTACCTCTCGTTTCATCCCTCAGACTTATAACAAAAAACTATTTTTTTCATTTATTATGAAAAACTATTTAAAGATATTTAGCCTTGTTATTGTTTTTTTTACTGTGCATAAATATCATATTATGATGTACACAAACCAATGATCTTTATGTTTTCTGTTTTGTCATTATGATTGTTCATTGTTAGATACAACTATCTTTCCATGATCTTGTATGTAATAAGTTTATATGAGTGACAGGTGCACTAACACTTCATAACATCAATAACTCGACAGCACAACCTAGAACAGTTTTCCTCGGCGTTTGTAATGTCTGCACTAAGGAGACGTTGGGCAGCTGCTCGAAGATCTCTCCTTTGGAGAAAATTAATTTGTTTTGTCATATGACATAGTTATGCATTAATACACACTAGATAAATGCAGTGAAATTGTCAGTCAAGCAATGAATTAATGCATACATTAATTAAATAATTATATTGTATATACTGACAACAATAAGAAACATGAATAAATGAGTAAAAGAACAAAAAAAAGTACCCATCACAATAAACAAATGCATATACAAGTCAACAACACATGAAACAAAGCTTTATTCAAACTACAAGCATGTATTTACTGAACCCCACATCCTACTGCCATCTCAACACAGCGTTTCCCATTATGCGGCTTTATTCTGATAAATTCACCAGAGGTGAGCGTGCCGGAGCTTGTTGTTGTGCTTCACAATCTGAGGCAATAAGGGCAGATGGAGAGATGGAGGGACTCATAAGGGCCGGTGGAGAGATGGAGCGTCGCATCCATGGCAGCGTTTCCAGGATTCAGCTCTGGGCTCCTCATCCTCAGTGCTCACACCAGTCTCCTGACATTTCAGATCCTACAAAAATACACAAACATTATACAAAAGCAGTCATTTTAACAGCACAATGTAATTTGATTTATTTATTAAAAGTTACAAAAATGGGGTGATTTATCTGCTCAATACTAGCCTACATGCTGAGGTTGTAGCTGATGTGTTCACTCACTTTTTATCCAACTTAAATGTTCCTCAATTTATCAACAGTAATAAAGGACAAATAAAATATATAACATGTTTAGTTACTTTATAGATTTGTTTATTTGCCTTATTTACAGCACATTTGTCTAATGTAAACAGTGTTGACAACAGTGAATTATCCTACATAATAGCACACGTTACATCACTCCGATGTCTATTATATGTTGTGATGTGCTCATCTGCAATACTTATACAATATTTTCCTTTCAGATGTAAATAGACATCAGATATTTAAATAAGCGTGTTTAAGTCAAGATGTATAATGTAACGTTAAATCAACTTGAGAGACGGAACGTTACGTGTGCTTACTGGAGCTCCCCTGTTAGCTATACATAATAAAACATGTTTTTACTGCAAAATCACAACTATACTATACTGTCTAACTCCTTTACACCTTCAACATTTAAAACGTTTACTCTATAGTAGTTTAACACATACGATTTAAACACAAGGAACCGTGTTTACTCACATTTGAAACCCCCCGCGTCGCTGATCTCCGTGATGTTTGATAATGACGTATCCTCTCGCGTGGCCTCCTGGGATAGATGAGTATCCACAGTATCCATCGGACGAGCACTCGAAAATCTGCGCTGAAGCAGTAAGCCATCCGGGAACTTCTCGCCTACTCTTTTATGAATACTGACGTTTCGAACGTACTGCTTCCTTCACGTACTGTTTTCGCCTACTATATAGTAGGAAAGTAGGCATATTCGAACGCACTTAAGTCCGAATCTCGCGATAATTAGTACGTCACCCAGGTAATTCTCGCCTACTCTTTTGGATTCATACATACTTTTTCGCTCGCCTACTCTTTTTCCCATACTATATAGTAGGGAAGTATGCGGTTTGGAACGCAGCCTAAGACTTCACTTGTTTCATTACTGGATGAATCAGCGTTTTTGAACGAATCTCTTGAATGAATGATTCAATGACTCACTCATAAAGACTTCACTTGCTTCATTACTGGATGAATCAGCATTTTTGAAGGAATCTCTTGAATGAATGATTCACTGACTCACTCATTAAGACTTCACTTGTTTCATTACTGGATGAATCAGCGTTTCTGAACAAATCTCTTGAGTGAATGATTCAATGACTTACTCATTAAGACTTCACTTGTTTCATTACTGGATGAATCAGCGTTTTTGAACAAATCTCTTGAGTGAATGATTCAATGACTCACTCATAAAGACTTCACTAGTTTCATTACTGGATGAATCAGCATTTTTGAACAAATCTCTTGAATGAATGATTCAATGACTCACTCATAAAGACTTCACTTGTTTCATTACTGGATGAATCAGCATTTTTGAACAAATCTCTTGAATGAATGATTCAATGACTCACTCATTAAGACTTCACTTGTTTCATTACTGGATGAATCAGCGTTTTTGAACGAATCTCTTGAATGAATGATTCACTGACTCACTCATTAAGACTTCACTTGTTTCATTACTGGATGAATCAGCGTTTTTGAACAAATCTCTTGAATGAATGATTCAATGACTCACTCATTAAGACTTCACTTGTTTCATTACTGGATGAATCAGCATTTCTGAACGAATCTCTTGAATAAATGATTCACTGACTCACTCATTAAGACTTCACTTGTTTCATTACTGGATGAATCAGCGTTTTTGAACGAATCTCTTGAATGAATGATTCACTGACTCACTCATTAAGACTTCACTTGTTTCATTACTGGATGAATCAGCGTTTCTGAACGAATCTCTTGAGTGAATGATTCACTGACTCACTCATTAAGACTTCACTTGTTTCATTACTGGATGAATCAGCGTTTCTGAACGAATCTCTTGAGTGAATGATTCACTGACTCACTCATTAAGACTTCACTTGTTTCATTACTAGATGAATCAGCGTTTCTGAACGAATCTCTTGAGTGAAATATTCAATGACTCACTCATAAAGACTTCACTTGCTTCATTACTGGATGAATCAGCATTTCTGAACGAATCTCTTGAGGGAATGATTCACTGACTCACTCATTAAGACTTCACTTGTTTCATTACTGGATGAATCAGCGTTTCTGAACGTATCTCTTGAATGAATGATTCACTGACTCACTCATAAAGACTTCACTTGTTTCATTACTGGATGAATCAGCGTTTTTGAACGAATCTCTTGAGTGAATGATTCAATGACTCTCTCATAAAGACTTCACTTGCTTCATTACTGGATGAATCAGCGTTTTTTGAACAAATCTCTTGAATGAATGATTCAACGACTCACTCATAAAGACTTCACTTGTTTCATTACTGGATGAATCAGCGTTTTTGAACGAATCTCTTGAATGAATGATTCAATGACTCACTCATTAAGACTTCACTTGCTTCATTACTGGATGAATCAGCATTTCTGAACGAATCTCTTGAATAAATGATTCACTGACTCACTCATTAAGACTTCACTTGTTTCATTACTGGATGAATCAGCGTTTCTGAAGGAATCTCTTGAATGAATGATTCACTGACTCACTCATTAAGACTTCACTTGTTTCATACTGGATGAATCAGCGTTTCTGAAAGAATCTCTTGAGTGAATGATTCAATGACTCACTCCTAAAGACTTCACTTGCTTCATTACTGGATGAATCAGCGTTTCTGAACGAATCTCATGAGTGAATGATTCAATGACTCACTCATAAAGACTTCACTTGCTTCATTACTGGATGAATCAGCATTTTTGAACGAATCTCTTGAGTGAATGATTCAATGACAAATACATGTTTTAACAGTGACTTGTCGCCACCTACTGGTGTAATGATGTAAATGATACAAATTGTTATTTTAAGAATCAAGCTTCTTTCAAAAAGTGGTTTACTCTATTTTATACAAATACGTTATTTTGTACGCTACCGTAGACCTCAGTGTTTATATCTGAACTGTAAGCTTTAATCCCAGTACTTCTGTGATAATCTGATTTATTGTAAGACAGAAATAATGCTGATACTGTGTGTTAAAAAGACAGTTTGTAAAGCTGTTCAATACCTATACATGAAAACGGCTCTCTCTGGGATCAGATCTAAATATTTCAGTATTTTATATATATATATATATTCAATTCAATTCAATTCACATTTATTTGTATAGCGCTTTTCACAATACACATCATTTCAAAGCAGCTTTACAGAAAATGCACGAGTCCATATTACAGTTTACAGCGATCTGCTATCAGAGGAGACTGTCCAAGTAAAGACATATGTATATATGTAGATATTTTATATTATAAGTTTGAATCAAGATTGCGATCTGTTAATGATTAGTCGTGCAGCTGTAATGTGAACGTTCGCTCACCAGTGACGGACCCAGCGCCGGGTTTCTCCGGAGAGGGTGTGTGTGGCGACGCGCCTCCGTCACACACACCTTTAGCGAAGTTCTCAGCGTCTTCTCTACGAGCGAAGGCTTTGAACCGAGCGCCTCTCAGCTTCATCACGGCCTTCAGCGCCTTCGTCTTCTCAGCGTACACGAGCGGCGAGCCTGTATTGATCACAGCATCAAGCACAATGTGTTTACATGAATGATAAATAAAGTAATCGGGTTGATGTGCGCGTTTATATGTCACAAGTTTCAAATCCGATCTGATTTTTTGACATGCGCACACTGCACGAATATACAGTGTTTCCCGCTGTTCGCGCATAAATATTCTCCTCTATTGGTTCTTTATTTGTTTTAAACAGCAGACGTAATATTAATTCGTCTCTGGTCATAATTTAAAGCATATTAACCGTTTTGCCGTGCTGCTTATATTGATCACGCAATAAAAATGCCCCTCCCCGCGGCCAAAACCAGACGTCTGTGGATGAGAATCCAAAACAAGGACTGGTGGGACGTTGTCCTGCTTCACCTAACAGACGCGCGAGTGAAATGAGAATTTTATGACGGGAAACTTATTAATATGACACTTTATTCAACAGGAAAAACAGCTCGTTCCGAGCGTCATACGTCATTACGTTTATTTAACGTCATTGCACATGCGCAGTCCTTTCAGTTTCGGTTTTCAATCCGATCAAGTGTTTACATGTTCTCTCGATCGGATTACAAAAGGAGTAAACCACCCCTTTCAATCCGATCGAAATTTCAATCGGATCGAGCTCAATCGGATCGATTAAGGTGTTTACATGAAGGTTTTTTAGTCCGATTGAGCCGTCAATCCGATTATAAGTGTCCATGTAAACGCAGCTAGTTGCACTATTCTCTGTTATCTCTGGACCTTTGATATCTGACCTGGACTGTTTCATGAACTCTCGAACCTTTGCTGCCTGTCCTGACCTTGGCCCGTGTTTCACTCTGAATATTGGATTGCCCCTCTACTAACACCAGCCTGAGTATTCTACTTATGCCTGCCTGAGTTCTCTTCTATTGCCAGTTTGAGTTTATGTCAGCTTTCCTCGTTTTTGTTACCTGTATTAATAAACTTCTGCAAATGGATCTAACTGCCTCAGCCTCTACATCACATTATGTAAACACAAGCTTTTATTTTGCATGCGATTAATTGTTACCCAGCACTACTTTACAATAAGGCCTCATTTATTGACATTAACGTATCAACTAACATGAACTAGCAAGCAAATTACACTTCAAATAAAAACACTTTCAAAAATGTTTTCTGTTACTTTAGTTAGTTTTATCAAGCTGATGTAAGTCTAAGTGTTCGATTTTTTTTTTTAAATAACTTTGGTCTTAGTTCGTTATTTGATGCCATAAAACGTGAATGTGACGTCATGATTGACAGCTGTGATTGACAGCTCCTCTAAACGAAGTCACTGAGGGACTAATGGACTTTTGGGGGATTTCCGTGAGTTGATTGGAGCTTCAACTTTAATTTCTACATGTCCATAACTGTTTATTTCACACAGTACACTTTGCAGTAACCGTTTCTGCGAGAGTGAGGGCGGGAGCTTGATAACTTGACTCTCACTCACACACACACACACACACACTCATACACACACTAGTGCGCAGAATCAGGTCCCGAATCTGCACAAGATGACAGCGCCATATTAGGACTTTGGCGGCTTCACTGTTCACCAATGGAAGAGAGTGAAGGGCCGTCGTCCATCTTTACAGTCGATGGTTGAAACTTGACCAATCACAACACACTGATCCAGCCGACCAATCAGAGCACAGTGTGCTTTTCAGAAGGAGGGGCTTCTAGAGACAAGATTGCCAGATTAGCATCATCCCAGAAGCTCAAAATTAGCGCATTTGGAAGAAAATTATCGTACACGAGTCAAATGTACAGAATACAACTATTTATTTATCTTCTAGACCAACAACTTTTACCAGACATGACCAGCAAATTACTTTATTGCTAAACTATCGAGCTCAGCTTGGAAACAACTGACCTAAGCGCCACGGCAGGAACGTTAACTCGTCCTCGCGAGAGTCATTCTCCTCGATGATTGGCCGAGAAGACGTTACTTGTCCTCGCGAGAGTCATTCTCCACGATGATTGGCCGAGAAGACATAACTTGTCCTCGTGAGAGTCATTCTCCACGATGATTGGCCGAGAAGACGTAACTTGTCCTCGCGAGAGTCATTCTCCACGATGATTGGCCGAGAAGACATAACTTGTCCTCGCGAGAGTCATTCTCCACGATGATTGGCCGAGAAGACGTAACTTGTCCTCGCGAGATTCATTCTCCACGATGATTGGCCGAGAAGACGTAACTTGTCCTCTCGAGAGTCATTCTCCACGATGATTGGCCGAGAAGACGTAACTTGTCCTCGCGAGAGTCATTCTCCACGATGATTGGCCGAGAAGACGTAACTTGTCCTCGCGAGAGTCATTCTCCACGATGATTGGCCGAGAAGACGTAACTTGTCCTCGCGAGAGTCATTCTCCACGATGATTGGCCGAGAAGACGTAACTTGTCCTCGCGAGAGTCATTCTCCACGATGATTGGCCGAGAAGACGTAACTTGTCCTCGTGAGAGTCATTCTCCACGATGATTGGCCGAGAAGACGTAACTCGTCCTCGCGAGAGTCATTCTCCACGATGATTGGCCGAGAAGACGTAACTTGTCCGCGCGAGAGTCATTCTCCACAATGATTGGCCGAGAAGACGTAACTTGTCCTCGCGAGAGTCATTCTCCACGATGATTGGCCGAGAAGACGTAACTTGTCCTCGCGAGAGTCATTCTCCACGATGATTGGCCGAGAAGACGTAACTTGTCCTCGCGAGAGTCATTCTCCACGATGATTGGCCGAGAAGACGTAACTTGTCCACGCGAGAGTCATTCTCCACGATGATTGGCCGAGAAGACGTAACTTGTCCTCGCGAGAGTCATTCTCCACGATGATTGGCCGAGAAGACGTAACTTGTCCTCGCGAGAGTCATTCTCCACGATGATTGGCCGAGAAGACGTAACTTGTCCTCGCGAGAGTCATTCTCCACAATGATTGGCCGAGAAGACGTAACTTGTCCTCGCGAGAGTCATTCTCCACAATGATTGGCCGAGAAGACGTAACTTGTCCTCGCGAGAGTCATTCTCCACGATGATTGGCCAAGAAGACGTAACTTGTCCTCGCGAGAGTCATTCTCCACAATGATTGGCCGAGAAGACGTAACTTGTCCTCGCGAGAGTCATTCTCCACAATGATTGGCCAATAAGACGTAACTTGTCCTTGCGAGAGTCATTCTCCACTATGATTGGCCGAGAGGACGTAACGTGAGATGAGATGGAAGACATGCGTAACACCACAATCACGTTCTCCTCACAATCTTGAAAGTAGACGTAGGATCCACAGCGTGACCAATGAGTATAGAAGCCCTATGATCACAACGAGTGTCACACAATAATCTGAAATTATAAATTTTTTTCATTATTGATCGTAAACTAAATTGAACTCCCTGAAACGCCTCCATTGTAGTCTTGAGTTTCTTCCAGGAACGAACACGTCACAATATTCCTCATTATAATAATTAATGTGCAGAATAAAGGGGCGGGGCCTGGTTGAGTTAGTTAGTAGTGTGTTAAACTGGCGGTTATGGGAAGGGGCGGGGCATTTCCCAAACACACTTAAAGCGCTCAACCAATCACAACACACCGCTCCAGCCGACCAATCAGAGCACAGTGTGCTTTTCAGAAGGAGGGGCTTCATAGAGACAGGAAGTAAACAGAGCGTTACTGACAGACTGGGAAGAGAGGAGCCGCAACAATGGAGAATATGAGGAGAATAATCAACATTCAAGCAGGAAAACCTGTTCTAGTAGAGCCTGAAAACAAGACTATTTAAACAAGAACGATGATTAAACACAGACCATCTTCCACCGAAGGGTCGCCCGGCTGAGGACACACGCCGTAATAAACAGATGGACTTTCCGTGGACGTTTGAGCGTCATGATTCCTTTCCTCTCCGTTTTCGGTCTCGCTGATTGGCTCTTCGACGGGATCTGGACTCCCAGAATGCACCACGGCCACATCACTGCCCTCCAGAAGAGCTCGAGCCAACTTCTTCTCGAAGATGCTCCGGGTGGTGGCGGTTACCGGGCCACACCTGAGTCCAGCGCTGATGATCTGGTCTCTCAGCTGATCTGAGGTCAGTGTCTGAAGCCTCTTCAGGACTGCCTCCATAGTTCACGACCTTTGACCTGAAACAGAGGTTGAACAGGCTGAATGAGATGGAGACTGATATAAACATCATTAATCTCTCATATGTCACAGTTTAACTTCACATTATTAGCTTCTATTAATAACTGAATAAACTTTCCATTAGTCACTGAACTTGAACATTTTTAATAAAACAAACATAAAACATCAAACCTGTTCGAAATTTAAAAACTGAAATCATCGTCTTGAGATAAATGTGACAATTTGCCCCATCTTGACACACACACACTCTCAATCACTCACACACACACACACACACACTCAATCACTCTCTCTCACACACACACACACACACACACACACACACACACACACACACACACGCACTCTCTCTCAACTCTCACACACACACACACACACACGCACTCTCTCTCTCTCTCTCACACACACACACACACACACACACACGGAAAAACTTTCCATTAGTCACTGAACTTGAACATTTTTAATAAAACCAACAGAATTCACGCATGTCATCCAATTGTATATGTTTACTAAATAATAAACAACACGAAAAAAATACTTACCAGTCTATTTTCAACCAATTATTGACAGATTCGTCTGATAGTAATCCAGGATACGAACCGAATCAAATGTACGTCACTGACTAAACGCGTCCACAGAACTGAACAAACTCATCTGGAAGATCATCACAAACACTTTCGAGCCTCAAAGGAAACGGTAATGAAAACATACTGATGATATATGAGAATCATCGTGTTTTTTATTTGACAAACTGAAGTGAAACGTTGCGAGCGCGATGCGTGCCAGTGTGACCCAGCAGAGGGCGTCACTGCGCATGTGCCAGTGCGATCCAGCAGAGGGCGTCACTGCGCATGTGCCAGTGTGATCCAGCAGAGGGCGTCACTACACAGATATTAAAGTGCCTTTCGAGCTGATTATATGCATTTTAAGTGTATAAACGGATAAAAATATATGATTGTACATTGTTTAATTAATCCATGGGCTGCTAGTCAGACATAGACCTTCTACATAAATAAAAAAGGACTCTAAATGTACTTATTTATTTATTTGTTTGCAATATATTATCTTTCTTTTATGGTGTTGATTTATTCTTAATGAACATGTTATGTTGTTACATTGGTGAAAACTTGACAGAGATTAGTGAGGTTACTTGTTTGCCATTAATCTGCACAAAACACTCATTTTAGAAGAATATAATCTAATAGTGTTGTCATTTTAATGTGTTTCCATGTTCATGGTTTATTTGTAACCTTTTGTTTTGTTGTCAGTGTTGTGTTGCATTAGAGAGGCACTGTTTTCAGTGGTAAAAATGCTTGAATAGAGAATATTTGTCTGATATTAAGTGTGATGGGAAATGATCATGACCTCACAGAGTTTGAGTATGAAGAATAAGATTAACTAGAAAGTAAAGTTCGTTAGGGCAAACTTTTATGTTGGCTTGATAAAGCGATGTCTGAAAGTTACAGTTACTGAAAGTTTTGCTAGCTTGTTTGTTGCAGATTTTAGTACACTAATAGCATGAATTAGCATGTTGCTAGCATTTTTTAGCACATTGCTAGCATGAATTAACATGTTTTTAAGATTAACTAACATGTTACTAGCATGTGCTAACACATTGTTAGCATTAATTATCATGTTACTAGCATGTTTTAAAAACATTGCTAACATGAATTAACATTATTATTTGCATGTTTTAACACATTGTATTTTTAACACGTTCTAGAATGTTTCTAGTATGATTTAGCACATTGTTGGCATTATTTATTACATTGCTAGCATTTTTAGCATGCTACTAGCATGATTAGCACATTGCTAGCATGAATTGGTAAGTTGTTACATGTTTATAGCACGTTTTAGCATGTTTCTAGCTAGATGTAACATATTGCTTGAATTGGCACATTGCTAGCATGTTTTTATTTTATGTTGGTAGAACGAATTAGCATGTTGCTAGCATGAATTATTATTAGCATGAATTAGCACATTGCTAGCATGAATTAGCATGTTGTTAAGATAAATTAACATGTTACTAGCATGTGCTAACACATTGTTAGCATTAATTAACATGTTATTAGCATGCTTTAACACGTTGATCGTATGTTTCTAGTATGATTTAGAACATTGTTGTCATGAATAATCACATTGCTAACATTTTAGCAAGCTAATAGCATGATTAACACATTGCTAGCATGAATTGGTATGTTGCTAACATGTTTTAACAGGTTTTTAGCCTTTTTAACAAGTTTTTAACATGATTAACATGTTGCTAGCATTATATAACATGTTGCTTGCTTGAATTGGTACATTGCTAGCATGTTTTTATTTTAGCATGTTGCTAGAATGAATTAGCACATTGCTAACTTGAATAAGCATGTTGCTAGCGTGTTTCAGCATGTTGTCGTATAGTTGTCAAGCTCTGCTAGTGATAGACAGACAGTGGCATCACATTAATAGTGAGTCTGTTTAAAAATGCAAATTTCTTTTAAATTAAAAACACTCAAATATATGCATGTGAA